CGCAGTGTTGGAAGCCACAAGAACAGCCAACAACACATCAATCTGGACGCAAGATTGGCCCGGGCCACACATCGTCCTGTGCAAACTGAACTGAACTGATTATAGTGGGGGATTTCAATCTCCCCGGAATAGAATGTCAGTACGAAGACGAGGGTGAGGGCGAAGTAGAACATGAATTCATGAAATGCTTCCATGCAGCATCACTCTACCATAAGGGAGCTCCCTTATGGGGTCCGTATCAAAACAGCCTAGGCTGTTTGAACGAAGAAAGCGGCTGTGGTCAAACGGTCGACAAGAAGTCGAGGCTCCGGAAGAACGTGGTTCTGGCTGGAGCAAGAATCTGGACGCTCGGTTAGCGAAAACCTTTATCGCCCTGTGCCACCTGACCTGTCCTAACCCGTCCCGTAATTTGAAATTTGGCGGAAATTACGATTGGAAGCGTCACCCTGTCAGAGATGGCGTTCCGCTTGCTTGCTCGTCGGACTCCCCCCCTTCTGTATTCGGTAAGAGGAAGATTTGGTTTCTAATCCTAATTTTACTCAGGTTAGGAATAAAGCCATTGGATCAGCAACTAGTTATCGTCCGGAGTATGCATGTGGCCACATGCCAACGACAGCGGTAACAACCCTGAAGAGCAATGGTTTTAGGGTTGCTTCAGAAAACTGGAATACACCTACGTGCACGGTAATTATTTTTGTTGTGGTAATTTTTCGTAGGTTGGTGTTTGGGTAGATGTCGGAAGCCGGTGTGAAACCGAGGCGAATAACGGTGTCGCTCATTTTCTTGAGCATATGGCTTTTAAGGGTACTGATAAACGTACTCAACAGTCTTTGGAATTGGAGGTGGAAAATAAGGGAGCTCACCTCAATGCGTACACTTCTCGTGAAATGACCGTTTACTATGCGAAGTGTTTCTCGAAGGATATACCATGGGGTAAGGTCATTCACTGAGTAACTAAGATGTAGCTGTGGAGTTGCTGTCTGACATATTGAAGAACAGTAAATTCGAAAATTCTCAAGTCGAAAGGGAGCGTGGTGTTATACTTCGAGAAATGGAGGTGAGCTGATCGTTCACATCGATATTTCCTCAGGAAATCGAAAGTAACTATCAAGAAGTCATTTTCGACTATCTTCACGCCACGGCATATCAAGGAACACCATTGGGTCGCACTATTCTTGGACCTGTGGAGAATGTAAAATCTCTAAAGGCGTCAGATATGCGAGAATTCGTTAAGGCGAATTATAAAGCCCCTCGAATGGTACTTTGTGCCGCAGGAGGTAATATCACTGTTTGATTATAATGCCCCATTTAAGGCATTGACCACGCCCAGTTGACGGAGTTAGCAGAGGCTCACTTCGGCAATTTCCCAGCGTCGTACGCTGAGGGAGAAGGAACCCCCAGTTTACTCCCATGTCGATTCACTGGGTCGGAAATTCGCGATCGTGATGACGCTCTCCCTCTCGCCCACGCTGCGGTGGCTTTCGAAGGTCCCGGATGGAGCAATCCGGATACACTTGCTCTTATGGTTGCTAGCAGTGTCCATGGAGCTTGGGATAAAAGTTACGGTGGCGGTGAAAATGTAGCCAGTAAATTAGCTGCGAAGTTTTTCGGAGAAGACTCAGTTCACAGTTTCCAGCACTTCTTTACATGTTATCACGATACTTCTCTCTGGTAAGTTATCATAATACCAGGTTTTATTATGTTCAAAGAATTTCATTTCTCCATCACTTGAAGGAGTAAATCGATATACCAGGGCCGATCACTTCTTTCTTCCCCTCATATTCTGTCGATTACAAAAGTGAGGTCTATTCCACCTAGACAAACCACGCACAACTTTACCTTTCCCACAAATTTGTGCGCAGAACCAAAAAGCTACTCTAAATTCAACCACAAACTCCATTGACTTTTGTTCAGAATAAGTTTAGTGGTATTACAGAACTACTTTCGTTAGCAGCTACATCATACACATTGCCTGGTGTGTTGTTGACAACATGATATCTAGACTTGGAGATTTTAATCCGAACTTTGGAGTCTCGACGTTTTCGATACTTTCTTTAAGGTAATGATAGCAGCTGGCAACCTGAAGGGCCACGGTGTCTAGCAGAAGTAGTGACGTAGTTAGCATATTCTCGTATTAATCTAGAACTTCCGGATTTGTTTGCTCGGAAGGTAATAATTGGTCTGTGTATCAGTAATACATATATATATATATTCTATTTCGCACACATTTCTGAACCCAGACTGTGCCAAACAAATCATAGTTCAATAATCTTATTGAAAAGAAACGTTCTATGATTTGCATGTGTGCGGAATACTGCCAGGTTGCCCAGGCCAAGGAAGGTGAATTTTCTTGAGGAATCCACTACAGGAGCCTTCGGCTAGCCAAAGTCTGACCTGCAAGACGGGGTGGTGTGTGAAAACCACAATCCATCGGGGGCCGATGTCCAGTTCATGGGATCATTCGCCCTTTGGACGGGGTCATCATCATCATCGTACAGCGAGATACAGTGAAGTGAGCTTCACTGATCGCTGGATGGGGTCAAACGTCCAGGGTGCCCAATATACCTCGATGCCCAATGGAGCCGGTGACCACAACCGCCTCAACCGGGAAGGTGTGGTTCGTACTCCTCATCTTGGTTTGGAATCAGGGTTTTTGGCCAACTCCCCTCGGTGAACTGCCAATGGTTCACCAACCCGGTTATAGCCCCGGATGTTGGCTTTTCATCCTCACTTTGATGGAAAAACGCCCGCCACGAGAATGAAATGAGTAGGTCATCTCAGCAAAGGCTAGTTGAGACGCTTGTTCGTATGGGAGCATTTCACGAGATGCAAGGAAAGGGTGACCACCCGCAACCCTAGACACCCACTCCCGACCATACTGAGGCGTTTGGCGGCACACTAGCAATACCACTAGTTGCTCATTCAGAATCTTTAGGTAATTCCAAGCAGTTGTGCTTTCGTTGATATGGAACAACTCACTTCCAGATCCGATAACAACTGCCACCCTACATCTTTAACCCTCTAGGCTTCCAGATACCATTTGTGACTGAAAACGGTTCGCATAAAATTGCCCCGTATTCCCACGACTGACATCGATGCGTCGCCTGCTTGCGTTACTCGGGAGAGCAGAGCTGTATGCTATCGAGCGCGTTCCCAGTCGCGAATAGGGGAACGGCCGCCAT